ACTCCAATACCAGCTGTCGCAGTGTGCACTGAGCTGAGGGATCTGCGGTAGGGATGCTAAGAGGTGCGATTGATAGGGATCAGCTCTGGAGACAGCTCTCTGAGGAGGCGGCACTGAGGCAGGCTACAGGGAACAGTTCAGGCAGTCAGACTCACCTATGCTAATACCTTGGGAAGCTAAGCTGTCGGCAGCTCGGGAGCTGAACCAAGGCCAAACTGACCAGTGTCTTGAGACCTTGGTTATATCCTGCCGATTCTTGTCCTCAGCTGCCCTGGGGCTTCTCGGGGCTCCACCTTTGGCAGGTGCCACTCTGAGGCCCAGGCTAAAACCAGAGGTTCTAGCAATAGACAAATGTTCTAGCAACAGGTAAAAATGAACTCACAGGGAACCTCTCTACAAAACATGCCTGAGATCCTCTTGCCTTAGCCTTCAATTTCAGGATTATGGATTGCCTCTACACTCTCAGAGTAGGGCTGAGAGAACACGGGTAGGAGGGATCACCTTAATGTTTCCAGTTTTGTTAAACCTGTTGTTCACTCAAAACATTCCTTACAAAAAATGTAAGGAATGGGGAAAAAAAGAGAAAAAAAAGGCAGACTCCTCATGAAGCATTTGCTTGAGTCTTCTTGTCTTAGCCTGTCTGACAGTCTGACAATCTCTTTTATTGATGAGGAGAAATCACCATTGTTCAACGGAACTGTAATCTGTTTGTGCCAAATTTGACCACGTTGGGAGGACATTCCCACATCTTCATTTATTCTGCAGTCTTTTCCTATTACTCCACTTGTTTTGAGATTGTTTGGAGATTGAGGAAGTGTTTATAATTCTATTGTCTGTATCAGCTTATAATGACAATGATTTTAAGATACTCAGGACACAAAGTCAACAGCCAAAATTAGCTTTCTTATATACCAAAAATGAACTGTTAAAGCACAATTAATAAAAACTCAGGGTCAGAAATCGGGGTTCAATCTGAAGATCTGAAAAGCAAAACAACCAGCCACTGGCTCTTCAACCTCAGTCTGAAAATGGCAATCCCGCCTCCAGGAATCTCAGAATGAGACTGTATCTGAGAGCTCCCTCTTCCCATTTTATATTCTTTTTCGAGGGCTGGGATTAAAGGTGTGCACCCCTGGGATTAAAGGAATGCACCACTTGATTTCTATGGCAACTAGTGTGGCTACTGAGATTTAAGGTGCGTGTCATTGTAGTTACTAGGATTACACCATAACCTGGTCTGTAAGGCTGACTAGTGGGGCCGTTTTACTCTCAGAACTTCATGCAAGCTTTATTAAAATACAATTGAAATGCCACTACAAACTCTGAGAAAGAAACAAGAGAACAACACCATTCATGATAACCTTACAAAACAAAATAAAATATCAAGCAATAAGTCTAAAGAGATAGAAGGCCTTTAATAATTAAAAGTATAAAGCATAGGACAAGAAATTAAAGAAGATACTAGAAGATCCCAAACCTCAGGTGTTCATGGATAAAGAGAACTGAGAATGTTAAAATGGCCATTTTACAGAAAGGGAGCTACAGTTTCAATGACATCCCCATCAAAATCCTACTGTCTCTCTTCATAAAACTGGAGAAATAGCCTAAAATTCATATGAAGCTAAAAGTCACTGTATAACCAATACTCTTCAGCAGAATAATAATTCTGGAGGCATCACAATTCCTGTTTTCAAATACTTATTACAGAGCCACAGTAAAAATAAAAATAGAACATGGCATTCGCATAAAAGGATATATAGGCCGATGTTATAGAATAAAGCACCCTAAAACAGCCCACTTGGTTTAAATTGACTTTTGAAAAATATTCCCAAGACATATGCTTGAAAACACAATCTTTTCAACAAACGATGGCACAAAAACTGAGTAGCAGATTCCTCTCTTACCCTATGCAAAATCAATTTAAGATGAAATAAAACCATTGATATAAGTGCTGAAAGTGCTAGAAAATGTGGAGACAAAAAAAAAACCCCTCCAAGATATTGAGACAGATAAAATTTCCTGAGTCAGAGTACACATGGTAAAAGTAAAACCATACTGAACTATTCTACAGATTGGGGAAAGTTTTGTTAGTCATTCATCTGGCAGGGGGCTGCTACCCAGGCCTGTGATGGTTTCAGCTCATGGTCAGCATGGTTGGCTTTAGAAATGCTAGGAGACAGAAAAGCCCACCTCAGTGTGTCTTTAGGAACATGCCAGAGAGACTCATCTAAGGACGGAAGGTCTATCCTGAGTATGGACAGCATCGCCCCATAGGTTGAAGGCCCAGAAGGATTAAAGGAGAAAAAGCAGAGAATCCCCTGGCACGTGCATCTTCTCCTTCAGTGTCCAGCTCCACCATGCCCTTCCCATCATGATGAAATGACACAGAGCCAAAACGAGTCCTTCACCTTCTCTCGGTTGCATGTCACAAGGACACGAACTCTGACTAAAATAGGTACTGGGCTGTGGGGTTGTCGCCATGACTATTCTTAACCATGGGGTCTGGAAATCTCTGGAACCAGTTTGCAGAAAGAATTTGGAAAAGATGTAGCTATAGGCTTATATAGGCTTTGGGGTTTGGGTTTTGTTTTGAGACTAAGTTGAAAGATGATAGAATAATTAACTTAGCAGAAGCAAGTTCGTGGTAGTGCAGTATTTGGACGATGGTGCTATGATTGCCAGATGCTTTTTGCCAGGTGTGCAGTGCAAGCCGGGAGCAAAGAATTTTCAGACGATCAGAAAAGCCTATTCGATATTGGGACCAATGAAATGTTCCTGCTGAAGAAATGAAAAGAAGCCAAGCGGAGTGGGCAGAAGGCTCAGGAGTTGAGAACTCTGCTCTTCCAGAAGACTGCAGCTGTTTGCAGTGCCCACAGCTAGCAGCTCACAAGGCCTTTAGCTCCATCTCCAGGGGATCTGATGCCCTCTTCTGGTCTCTACAGACAACAACGCTCATACACAGAAATAAAAGTAAATCTGCTAAAATACAGCAGACCGAGTAGCTTGCACGGGGACCATAAGAAAGACGGCTTTAGAGCATCCAAGGCAGTGACTGGACACCACCCAACGTAGGCTCGAGGGTGTGAAGGGCGGAAAGATTTTAACAAAATCTGAAACTCTTTATTTTGAAAAGAGAACTGAGTGGTACCCTGTTCACACAGGGACACCTAGGGACCCATTTCTTCACATTCATCCAACATGGCACACAGAGGCACCTGCAGCCGAAAGGACCCATTAGTGCCCAAGTTGACATCAGACTTTGTCATTAGCAATGATATGCCGGATTTCTGGACATGTAGTATGCAAGAGTTACACTTGTACATTTTCCTTCTTATGTAGGAGAGAAACCCTCTACTGCTCACCCTGGGTATTCTGTATCCAGCTTTGATCTCATTATCTCCTCAAACAATGTAACAATGTCCATTAGCTGTTATTTTAAAATTTTTCAAAAAGTGTAAAGTATTACCCCGTATCTTTGATGTTATTTTTGTCCTATGTTTTGCCGGCTGTTTCTACCTCCCTCCAGAGTGAGTTGCTTTCTCTATCCAGACAGTTTCTAGTACTTGAAAATTCATGTCTACTGACTTAGTAGTAGTACCTAGAAGTGATTTCTCTTGTTCGGGTCTAGTCTCAATTTTAGGAGGACTCTGTGTTCCTCAGTCTTGGAGATGGAGCATTCTCAATGACTCTGTGTTTCTCAACTGTGTTGGTTGTATTTTGGGTTTTTTTTTTGTTGTTTCTGAGGTTTATTTTTGGCAGCTTGATGCAAACTAGACATATCTGGGAAGAGGGAATCATAGCTGAGAAAATGCCTCCATAAGATTTGCTTGTAAACAGGTCTGCTGAACATTTCTTAATTAGTGATTGATATGGCAGAGCTCATTCCATGTGGGTGGTGCCACCCCTAGGAAGGTGATCCTGGGTTCTATAAGAAAACAGACTGAGCAAACCATGAGGAGCAAGCCAGTAGCAACGCTCCTCCACGGCCTCTGCACCAGCTCCTGCCTCCCGGTCTCTCCCTGCCTTGAGTTCCTGCCCTGACTTCCCTCAGTGGTGAACTGTAATGTAGAACTGTAAGACAAAATAAACCCTTTCCTCCCCACGTTGCTCTTGATCCTGCTGTTTAATCACAGCAGTAGAAGCCCTAAGACATCAACACTTAAAGATCTATGGTGATCTCCGTCCACGGCAGCTTCCCCTCCCCTGCTAAGAGTGTGAATTGTCACCATTTTCCTTTTTGTGTTCTTAATAAGTCTTCACCAGAACCAAATGGAGATCACCTTGCTATTTGCCCTCCAATTGGCATAGGATTTGCTCCTATGTGGCCCGCAGTGTTTGGGTGTCTGTTTGTTGTATATGTATGAGAGTTTGGCCTACATTTATGCCTGTGTGCCAAGTACTTGCCTGGTTTTCACAGGGGTCATAAAAAGGCACCAGAACCCTTGAAACTGGAATTATAGATGGCTGTGAGTCACTATGTGGGTTCTGGGAATTGGACCCAGGTCCTCTGGAGGAGCAACAAGTGTTGCTAATTGCTGGGTCATCTCTCCAGTCACTGTGAAGTGTTTTGAACCTGAACCCCAAGGAACAATCTTTATTCGGTCATTCTACTGTCCCCAATCGATCATGGATACCTGACAGACCCTCATGGAGAAGAGTCTGTGATGGATGGAATCTCCTTCTTGGGTCTTTGGTTCCCAGAAATTCTATACCCTTGATGTAGCCCGTGTGCAGCTTTTAGCACTTTAGTAAACTCTAGTGTCTAGTCAGTCTCCAAACGTGCAGGAGAGCATTTCCATCCAGAGAGGAAGGATGAGCTAATTACTATTCACACCTCCCTCCTCCGAAGTCCCTGCCTACATCCATATTTCAGGGAGACTCTTCCTTCACACACACACACACACACACACACACACACACACACACACATATACACACGTGGTGTTGTCTTCATACGATGGTTTTTATCATTTTCACTTTTCAGTCCCTTCATTCTCCTCTGCCAGAAAAGGGTACTTTTATTTGGAGCCAAAGATATGACACAGACACTGGTTTGGTCTCTAAAAGAGCTAGAGTTTTCTGTAAATTGGGGCCATGAGATAGGGCCATCCCATCTTTCTTGCCTTCCCAAGTCCTATCACACACAGTTCTGAAGTCCCCACAATAAGAAGCCTTTTCATCTACAAAAACCACATGATCTAACTCTGCCTTTGCTGCATTGCTCTCCCCAAAAAGCTAGCTTGGCTTCCCACTTTTGAAAGTTCAATTCTTTTCCTGTAGGGGTTTCTCCACTGCCTCCTTGGTCCAGACTTTGGTCCAAAATGCCACTTCCTTATCCTTCAGGCCATGGGCTGCCTGAGTGGTTGCTCCAGTCTTCAAGTATCCTTCATTTTGATTGTATTCTGGCCATGCAGGCAATGTCTTCCCATTGGGGTTCCTGGAATCAAAATCAAAGTTTCTCAGATCTGCTATGTGGTTCCCATGTTTCTCTGTAAATTGGATGGATCTTGGGTATATGGATGTATATTGCTGCCATGGGACTTACGGCCCTGGGGATGAAGAATGCTCTATCTACTTAGCCTGACCACTGTTAGAGAGCCCTCACTGTCAAAGTACTATGGTCATATGCTCAGGCCTTTGTCCACTTAAACTATACAGGCCACCACTTCCCATGGGTTCCCTCCCCACCCCAGCATCCTACCTCCCCCACTAACCCTGTCCACCAGTCTCACCCATTCCGAGCAAAATTGCCCCAAAATTTCATCATCATCTTGCTAATGTTGATCTCTTCACTTGAGGCACCCCCTGTGAGGAAGAGGATAAAGCCCTCAGTTGTTCCTATGGCAACAGCATCACTGCCATGCAAGCCTTTACCGTGGTGGATTCTGCACTCTTATTTCATATCTACTGGGTGAAAAATCTGCATTTGAATAAAATACTGACAAATTTCACACATTCAGCAATGTGCATGTGGTTCATTAGTAAGCTGGATGCTTTTGCTTTCTATGCTGCATCTTCAGCTTTTCCCATAAGTATGAGATTCCAGCGGGCTGTCTCTACCTCGTAGGACTGCTATTGACTGTTGGGTCTTTCTTTAAGTCTCTCTCTCTCTCTCTCTCTCTCTCTCTCTCTCTCTCACACACACACACACACACACACACACACACACACACACACACACACACGCACGCACTTTTCATAGTCTGAAATATATGAGAAATGTGAACATCCTCATGAGTAATTCAGCTTGGAGAGACTGGTGTGCCATGAGAGAGGTCATGAGTCACATGCAACTGCTGAGAGACATTTGTGAAAATATTCAAATAGTGCATAAGCTAAAAATATGTGAGTTTTAAATATATAGAGACATATGGATAAACACTTGATACCCAACTCAAGGTTAATGCAAATTCTAATCTTCCTGCACCCCTATGAGTAGGAAACTACCAGCACTCTCTTTTTCAAGCAGTGCCCTGCAGATGAAGTTACAGGTCAGGATTCTAAGAGACTATATACTGGAAACACAAACACAGCCCTCTTTCATTGGGCAGGGAAAAGCTAGAGACTGCTCAAGCAAACTCAGCTCCATTCTGATGAACCATGAAACTAAGAGCAAAGAGGTGAAACACTCTCAAAATTACCCAAAAAATGCTGGCGCTCGGGCCTCTTAATTCCAGGCTCATAACTAAAAAGGAACCATTACCTTTTGTAAATGGGGCACCGAATACTGAGAAGAGTTCATCCCCATGGTCTCCCATCACCGTCTCAGGTTTCAGATCCGAAGAGAAGCTTGGGTGATACTGAAATTCATACATGTAGACAGGGGCTCCAGCATCTGAGAAAACACGGGTCCATGTTCAATTCATGTGGAGGCATAAATCTGGATGGTATCCAGGCTCCCAGCTCCAAAAGGGGCTCCTGACTGTTCCCTGGCACTCTCCAGCTTCCACCATCTATGCTGAACACGTGCTTGGCATTGTGTCACCATGAGCCTCCTGATCTTCCTGGGTCACTTCCTCATCTCCTGACTGCTGTTTTTCAGAATCTCCTTCTGAATTAACTGCATGCATTTGGGTCCTTCCCTCAACATGAGCTACTTACTAGCAGATAACACAGCAGGACAGTACCCATTCCTGATCATGTAGAACCAAGACTTAGGACCTAACTCTCAGCAGTGTCCACATCTATCCACGCTAGGAGATAAATGGGTCAGAACTAATACTGATGCCAGCGACCCTCTGCAACACAACCCCTAGGTCTTACCTCTGTAATGACGAGCCACAATGACAGATGGCACGGCAAATAACACATCTCCGATCAAGTCTACAAACAGGTCTCTGTTTTTGACAATGTCTTCTGCCCCTCCTAAGTATTCCTTAATGACTGCAGGAATCACCTCCTCAGGGACATTCTGAAATGAATCAAGGAAGTAACCCCTACCCTAAATGGCAAGCAATGTGACTTCTTTGGCCAGTTTATAAGTCTTTGTTGATCGTGAACCTTATTTTAACCCTTCAGTCTCTGCTAGGTTGATGAAGTGTTAAAGGCATGAAAATGAGACAGAACTCCAAGCCTACAAATGTTTGTGCCATTGGTGTTTCTGTTATTTGAGATGAGCCCCCAGCCCTTCTGTGCACCTCCATCAACTCTCACAATCCCCATAAGCTTCTTACGAGAAAGGGACTAGACTTCCTCAGAAGAGATGTGGCTGTCTTCTGGTCCAGTTTGCCTGCAGAGAGTGGATACCCCATAATCTGTTGAAAAAAAAAAGTTATTGAGTACTTGAGAATCTTCAAGAATTAACAGAAAGAACTCAATAAGAAAACCAATGAA